GCGGCGCGTCGCCGGCTCACGTACACTTACTCGCGTTTAAAGTACGTTCAAGTAGCAATTTAAGGCGAGCCGCGCACAGACCAGCATCGAATCCTACCGCTATACTCTGCATCTCGCATCGAGGAAGCGTTGAGAGACTCGAAATATTAAATCTTTTGTCGCGTCGAGTGAGATTCCATCTCCTCCGCGCAGTAATCATCGAGCGTCGAGAGACTTCTCCTCCGCTCATTGCACTCCTGTGGAGCCATCGTGGAGACCGCGGCCACCTCCAAGTCGGACGCCTTCTCCGGGCCCGGCACAGTAGAAGCGGAGGCGCGGAGTGGCCCCACTCCAACAGCGACCAGAAGGAAGAGGTGCCGAACCAGGACGCGGAGCCAGAGACGAAGAAAGCGCCACTCCTACCCGCCAGTACCTCAGGAACGGCACACGAAGGGGGCGGAGCCCGCTAAACCGGTGTCGCGGGAGCGGCACCAAGAGACGCCGGCCCCTGTGAAACCTCGTCTTTCTAATCAGCCTGTGCCGCAGGAGCGGCAGGCAACGAGACGGGAGTTGGATAAGGGACAAGCGATACGTCCGTGGAAGCTCATTCCATTGGAGCTCCCGGAGGTGCGCCGCACCAGGTCAGCCGGACTGACGTTCCCGAAACGGGATTGCCGCATTTCTCGGCCACCGGCCCTCCACCTGATCCGCGTCAAGGAGACGCGAACCACAGCGTGCCAGACGGTGCTCAGGCGAGCTTTCCTGGCTCCGTCATCGCCAGTGGACCCACCGGATCAACCGACGGACAAGCCACCTCGCACCCCGGGCTCTAAACTCGACCTCAATAACAACTCGGTTTCCTCCGAGCCCCTTGCAAAGAAGGCCATCCGCCACATTGAATTTTAAACCGTGCGTTAGCACTTATTTTTTGATTAGGCGCCTTCAAAGCGCCGCCTAAGACAATGCAAACATAATATATGTAATTTAGACACAGAATATATTGTTTTATTACCAAATCTTGTCTCGCTGACTCACCGCCACCGTCCTGATCCCTATTGCGACTCCACGATATCGAACATTTTGGTCCTTCGAGCCGGATACTCAACATCTGGCGTTTGCGTGCATGGATTTTGAATCCACTGTTCGACGGTCGCAATAGAGTCAAGGATCGAACAAAGGAGGTAGAGACAAGATGAGTATGGACGTAGAAAGCCTCCTTCGAAGGCAGCACGAGATTCAGGGCCGCCTTGCGCGTGCATCCGAAAATCTGAGGAAGGCAGGGGCGACTAAGATAACCGCAGGAATCGTGGAAACGCGATTATCGGCATTGGAAACGAACTGAAATAAGTTCGACATGAACCACGAGACGCTGATGAGCGCTCATCGAAAATCTCTGAGCGATCACGATTACCTCACTTCGGATTTCTACACGACGACGGAGGAAACATACCTAGTCCAGAAGGCGGCGTTCCTAGATCTACTGGCCGGCCTCCGGCCCGCTGCAGAGCAACACGGGAGCGCGGTGACCAGGCCTGCGGCAGGCACGATGCGCAAATCGCTGCCGCGCATTGAACTGCCGCAATTCTCCGGTGACTACGCCGAATGGCCAGCTTTTCGGGATCTGTTCCACTCCATGGTGGACAAGGACTCACTATTGGAGAACGTGGAAAGGTTCTATTACCTCAAGACTAGCTTGAAAGGAGAAGCAAGCCTGCTCCTCCGCAATTTGCCGACCACGGCCGAGAGCTACACTCGGGCGTGGGAGATCCTTACGGAGCACTACCCAAACAAGCGATTGCTGGTCCGCTCTTGCTTCGCTGCCTTCACTTCACAGCCGAAGATGAAGGGGGAAGCAGCGAGCGAGTTGCGGAAAGTATTCCACGGAATGCTGCATACCATGGGCTCCCTGGAATCAATCGGACGGCCAGTCACGAGCTGCAGTGACTTGTTCGTCCATCTTATCGTCGAACTGCTCGACACCCGCTCGCGGCGCGAGTGGGAAATTGCGGTCAGCGGAACCACGAATCCGCCCTCGATTGACACTCTGAAGGAATTCCTGGAGTGTCGGGTACGTGCCTAGAAGCGCTCCAGCCGGAGAAGACGGGTCAGACCTCGCCTGCCAAAGGAGACTCACGTAGATCGGCACACTCGCACGCCGCATCTCGCAAGTCGAAAAGCACTGATCAATGTTCATTCTGCCAGAAAGAGCACTTCCTTGCCTTCTGCGAGAAGTTTCGCAGTAAAACGCCCTCTGAAAAAAGGGACTTTGTCGTTCAGCACAAACTGTGCATGAATTGCTTCGGCAAACACGCCGTTGCCGATTGCTCGTCAAAGCGGAATTGCGCCGCTTGTCAGGAGCGTCACCACAGCAGTATCCACGATGTGTGCGCTAAAGCTGCCACAACGATCGCCGCGGCCCCCATTTCTCTCCACGCAGGACAGACCAAGGGCCCGTCGTCTGGGGTATTGCTCGCCACGGCACGAGTATTCGTGGATAATCGATACAATCAACGCATCATGACACGCGCATTGATTGACCCAGGATCGGAGGTTTCGCTCGTAACCAAGGCTTTGGTGCAGCGTCTCCGACTCCCACGCCAGCCAACGTCCACGATCATTGTCGGAGTAGGCGGAAAACAGACAGGGATTGCTCGCGGGCGCGTGTCAATCACTTTGTCATCCAGATTCGCAGACTTCACGACGACGATTTCAGCCCTGGTTCTTCCGCGGATTACACGGTACGAGGCACGCGCAGAAACCTCGCGCTCTCGATGGGAGCACCTGGAGGGCCTTCCACTCGCAGACCCGGATGGTCAAGCAGATGGAGCCATCGCCTTGCTTCTCGCCGCGGACGTCTACGCCTCCATCATCGACGAAGGAATTTGGAAGGGAGGTGTGGGAGCTTCAATTGCACAAAAAACGTCGCTGGGGTGGCTAGTGTCAGGCGCAATTGCCTCCCCATAGGGCAATTCAGTCGAATCCTTGCAGTGCTCGGTCGACGAAGAATTGTCAAGCATGGTTCGGAAATTTTGGGAGCAAGAGGAGACGGTTCACTCCCCTCTGCCTCTCACCGACGAAGAACAGGCGTGTGAGGACCACTACGTCCGCACGCACTCACGACTGCCCGACGGGCCCTACATGGTGCGCCTCCCCTTCAAGAACGCACCGCCAAACCTGTCAGGGACACGACGCATTGCTGTGCGCATGCTGCAAAGCATGGAGCGCAAGACGGACAACGATCCGGAATTACATAAACTATATTCAGAATTCATGCAAGAGTACGAGGACCTTGGACATATGGCTCGGGTGCTGCCGGCTGCCGAAGAACTCGACGAGGCGCAGCGATGCTACCTGCCACACCACGGGGTACTCAAGAAAACGAACGACACCGTCAAGATACGTGTCGTGTTCAACGGATCGGCACGACTAGGCTCCGGTGACTCACTCAACTCGCACCTTCTCACCGGGCCAAATCTATTGCCGGCACTAACGGACGTGCTGCTAAGATGGAGACGACATCGCTACGTAATAATAGCTGATATCCAAAAAATGTATCGCCAGATCTCAATGCACCCTAGCGATAGAACATATCAACGGATACTCTGGCGACTTAAAAACTCACCCGAGCTGCTAGAGATGCTACTAACGACAGTCACCTACGGACTAGCGAGCTCGCCATTCCAAGCAATCCGAACGATGCGACAACTCGCCAAGGACGAGCGACATGCCTACCCTCGGGCAGCGTCCATTCTGGAGGAGGAGACATACGTCGACGACGTACTCTCCGGAGCGGACCCGAAGACGACGCAAGGGATCTCGTCCACGAACTGACGTCACTGTGCATAGCGGGCGGCTTTCCGCTACAAAAGTGGGCGGCAAACAAAGCCGCGATACTCAAGGACGTGCCAACAGAGCACAGGCAAGTGAAGGACTTCGACCTCTGGGATCAGAACGCCAGTCACGCCACTCTAGGCGTGCAATGGCACCCACAGGATGACACCTTCGGCTTCAAGGTCCGGCCGGTGGAAACCACAAGCATCACGAAGCGAACAGCTTTCTCACACACAGCTCGACTGTTCGATCCACTCGGCTGGTTGGCCCCAGCAATTATCCTAGTCAAAATGCTAATCCAGACTGCCTGGTTGCAACATCTCGATTGGGACGAGCTTCTCCCCCCTCGAGATCAACAGGACTGGCAACAACTCCTACGCGAACTGCCGATGGTCGAAGCAAAGCGGATCCCGAGATGGCTGCACACGGGCAGCTCCAGCTCTCGTCTGGAAATCCATGGCTTTGCAGACGCATCGGAGAGAGCGTATGCGGCGGTCATACCTAAAAGCGAGCACTGACGGCGGGCGGAGCGTGGTCACTCTCCTCACCGCCAAGAGCAAGGTCGCGCCCGTCAAACGGGTCACCTTGCCACGCCTCGAGCTCAGCTCTGCAGCCATGCTGACTAGGCTAGCGGCGAGAGCGCAGGAAACACTGAAGCTCGTGGTGTCGCAAATTCATTTATACTCGGACTCCGAAGTGACGCTGGCATGGATTCGGGGGCACCCCTCTCGCTGGACAACATACGTCGCCAACCGGGTGGCGGAGATACAGCAGCTGCTACCGGAGGCAGCATGGCATCACGTGCCAAGCCGGGACAACCCCGCGGACTGCGCCTCACGTGGAATGCAACCCAGTGAGCTGGTGGAATTCGGGCTGTGGTGGCAAGGGCCATCGTGGCTGACGGAGAACTCACCACCCCCACTACGGACCTCGCCGCGCCTGGCAGAGGACGAGGTTCCCGAGAGGCGGGCACACATTAACACAGTGACCATAAAGCCACCCGAATCGGATATGCTGCTTCGATTTTCAACGCTGCGACGCCTGCTACGCGTCTCAGCATGGTGCCGACGCTGGTTACGGGCGATCCAAGCCCGACAATTCTCTGTTTCAGGCACATCACTGACTCCGCAGAAACTGGAAGGCGCCCTGGGGACCTGGATACGAGAGGCCCAAGCAGCCTGGTTCTCGGAAGAAATCAAAGCCCTCGACCGTGACAAGCAGCTTCCGAGGCGGAGCGCATTGCAACGCCTCAGCCCATTTCTCGATCATGACCACGTCCTTAGAGTGGGAAGACGACTGAAGCACGCGATCTTAAGCGACGATGAGCGACATCCGGCCATTCTTCCTCGAGATTCGTGGCTCACAACGTTGATCATTCACGACCAGCATAGGCTCCATGGAGGCGTTCAGTTAACCCACGCCTCTCTCCGACAGAGATTTTGGATCCCAGGAGGGAGAGCACGAGTACGACAATGCATCCACCAATGCATCACATGTGTGCGCTGGCGGGCGAAAAGCCCACAGCAGCTAATGGCGGACCTGCCGCCGCCCAGAGTGAACATAGCAAGAGCGTTCACTCACACAGGCGTGGACTACGCCGGGCCGATTGCGCTGCGCACGACCAGAGAACGAGGACACAAAACTTACAAGGGGTTCCTCGCCATATTTGTGTGCATGAGCACGAGAGCAGTGCATCTCGAAGCCGTGTCCGACCTGACCACAGATGCCCTTTTGGCCGCCTTTCGCCGCTTCACATCAAGACGAGGCCTCTGTGAGGTCTTGTACAGCGACTGAGGCACCAACTTTGTGGACGCCGACAAGGAGCTGCGGAGGTTCTTCAAGGCCGCAATTTACGACAATCCGCAGTGGACGAACCTCCTGACAACTGAAGGTGTAAGATGGAAATTCAACCCACCTTCCGCACCGCACATGGGCGGACTGTGGGAGGCAGCCGTGAAATCGGTGAAGCACCATCTTCGAAGAGTCATCGGCAGCTCCACGCTGACGTACGAGGAGATGGCGACCCTGCTGTCACAGATCGAGGCTTGCCTAAACTCCCGGCCCCTCCAGGCACTAAGCGACGATTCGGAGGACGTGGCAGCACTGACGCCGGGACACTTTTTAATTGGGACGGCGCTCATCGCAGTTCCGGAACCCTCACTGTCTCAGGCGCCTACGAGTCACCTCGCCCGTTGGCAGCACCTCCAACAAATGCGAGACCATTTCTGGGAGCGATGGGCTCACGAATACTTACAAACGCTGCACGAACGCTCGAAGTGGCGAACGAAGGGAACCAGCTGCAACCCAGGGGATCTGTGCATTATCCGCGGCGAGACGACTCCACCATGCCAGTGGCCCCTTGCCCGAATCACCGAGGTGCATCCAGGCGAGGACGGGCAAGTGCGGGTGGTGACAGCGCGAACGGCCACCACGACCCTCACCAGACCGATGGCAAAAATCATCCCGCTTCCACAAACCGGCGACCAACACCAGACAACATCGTCCTAGGACCAGACGAGGCGGGCGGTATGTTCGAGAAGTCAAACATGTGCCGCGCGCGCCTGACAAATGCGCGCCCGGCCAACACGCGCTTATCAGATTTCGCGGCTCGCTGCGGCGCGTCGCCGGCTCACGTACACTTACTCGCGTTTAAAGTACGTTCAAGTAGCAATTTAAGGCGAGCCGCGCACAGACCAGCATCGAATCCTACCGCTATACTCTGCATCTCGCATCGAGGAAGCGTTGAGAGACTCAAAATATTAAATCTTTTGTCGCGTCGAGTGAGATTCCATCTCCTCCGCGCAGTAATCATCGAGCGTCGAGAGACTTCTCCTCCGCTCATTGCACTCCTGTGGAGCCATCGTGGAGACCGCGGCCCCCTCCAAGTCGGACGCCCCCTCCGGGCCCGGCACAGTAGAAGCGGAGGCGCGGAGTGGCCCCACTCCAACAGCGACCAGAAGGAAGAGGTGCCGAACCAGGACGCGGAGCCAGAGACGAAGGAAGCGCCACTCCTACCCGCCAGTACCTCAGGAGCGGCACACGAAGGGGGCGGAGCCCGCTAAACCGGTGTCGCAGGAGCGGCACCAAGAGACGCCGGCCCCTGTGAAACCTCGTCTTTCTAGTCAGCTTGTGCCGCAGGAGCGGCAGGCAACGAGACGGGAGTTGGATAAGGGACAAGCGATACGTCCGTGGAAGCTCATTCCATTGAAGCTCCCGGAGGTGCGCCGCACCAGGCCAGCCGGACTGACGCTCCCGAAACGGGATTGCCGCATTTCTCGGCCACCGGCCCTCCACCTGATCCGCGTCAAGGAGACGCGAACCACAGCGTGCCAGACGGTGCTCAGGCGAGCTTTCCTGGTTCCGTCATCGCCAGTGGACCCACCGGATCAACCGACGGACAAGCCACCTCGCACCCCGGGCTCTAAACTCGACCTCAATAACAACTCGGTCCCCTCCGAGCCCCTTGCAAAGAAGGCCATTCGCCACATTGAATTTTAAACCGTGCGTTAGCATTTATTTTTTGATTAGGCGCCTTCAAGGCGCCGCCTAAGACAATGCAAACATAATATATGTAATTTAGACACAAAATATATTGTTTTGTTACCAAATTTTGTCTCGCTGACTCACCGCCACCGTCCTGATCCCTATTGCGACTCCACGATATCGAACAAACTGCCTCCCAATAAGGCACATTTACTAATTCTTTGTTTGGCTCGCATGGAGATAAAATTACATGCAGATCAGCTGGCACACTTACAGCTCTCGCACCTACCATTCGAAACTTTGTAACGATGCACCCCCAAACATGCATCGTTCCGGCAAGAACACCACGCCGAGACCACCCCGCCGACCACCCGCTGGGTGAAAAACGGGCACGATGTGCCCAGCGTATTTTTTAATCATCTCATACGTTAGGAAGTCCGCGAATGGACTTAAACGCGGCAACCGCTTCACCGCGCCGAGCGGTGCCGAAGGCGGCCGAAGACCGCCGAACGCGATCACGGCGTCGGGGCGCCGCAATCCCCGATCGTTCCGCCGCATCGGCCCGGCGCTCGCGATCGCCGTCGCTACCCCCACCACGCCGCAACGCCGCCGCGACGCCGCCGCGACGCGTATAAAAGCCCGGCGTCGCTGGCACAGAGCGCGATTCCCGATCATCCGTCTTCCAGACAACACCGATCCTAAATTCCCGCACGAAAGCTAATCCGAACGTAAGGTAGAGCGCCTTCGGCATTCTCTGTCTTCGCCGAGTGTGTCTCGGCTAGCGACCAGCTTTTCGTTCCTATCTGAATCACCCGAAGCCGTCCGGATACGAAGGTAAAGCGCCCCCGGCATTCTCTGTCTTCACCGAGTGTGTCTCGGCAAAGGACCAGCTCATCTTCCAAATCATCCGAAGCCTGTCCGGACAAGACGGTAGAGCGCCTCTGGCATTCTCTGCCCTCGCCGAGTGTGTCTCGGCCGACGACCCGCTTCCGCCGCGTTATCCACGCTTCGCGATCCATATTGCCGCCGCGCTTCGCGCCATTTTTCCGCGCTCCGGGCCGCGCCGGCCGGGAAACCGGCGCCGCCCGTGCCGATACCTGCCGTCACGCGATTCGGTCCGCGCGAATACCAAAAGCAGCGGCTCCGCCCCGCACATACCGCGAGTTACCCCGCGCCGCCCGCGACCAAACCAACGTCGCCTCGCACGCATCGACCTATTGTAAATGCCGCAAGCATAGATTGTAAATTGTCATAGAATAAATTCAACTATTTTCTTGTAACCGAGACGCGCCTTCATTTCGCTAACCTCGCCCTCCGTCTGCTTCTCCGCACCTCCTTCGAACCCCGGCCAACCGCGAACTCGATCCGCGCTTCGAAGACAGGTTGTTTTAACTTTTCTATCGTTTTCTTTACATAGGAACTCTGGTGAATGACTAGAAACTTCTCTTTTCTATCGCGTAATATTTGCAGACCCACGAATGTGCTTGCATCCCCGACCGTTATATTAAAGGTATTTTTTAACCTATTAATTATATTATCTAGAAGCTTTAGAGATCGTGCTGCGACTAGTCCGTCGTCTACAAATAAAGCTAGTTATACTATATCATTATCAAATTAACCGATAAACACACACTCGTCGGCTTCACATTTTTCAAACCCGAACTTATTCAGAAATTGCGTGAACTTTTTGTTCCAACACTTTGGGGCCTGTTTCAGACCATACAAGGCTTTTTCGAGCTTACACACCACACTTTTCACTGCGTCGTCTCGTGATTCTTCTCCGATGTCGAGTCCCTCCAGCACCTCCATGTAGATCGTCTCGTCGAGCTCCCCGTACAGAAACGCCGTTTAAATATCAAACTGCGTTAGTTCGAGATCTTTCTTGGTGACTATCGCCAGAAGTACTCGTATCGTAACGTACCTGACTACTGGGGCGAACGTTTCGTCATAATCTATCCCGTGCTGCTGTCGGAATCCTCGTGCGCACAGTCTTGCCTTGAATCTAGATTGTCCTTTGGCATTTGTTTTCACTCTGAATACCTACTTGGAGTCGATTATCTTCTGTTCTGACGTCCTCGGTACAAGCGACTACGTGTGAATTTTCTCGTGTGCTTTTAATTCTTCCTGAATGGCCCTTGCCCACTGCGTGGCATGTTGTCCATTTGTCGCTTCTCTATACGTGTTTGGTAAAATGTATTCCGCGACATCCGCCTCGTATCTTTCTGAAGGCCTGACTGTTTCTCGATTTTTCAATCGAATATGCGGAGTTTCTCGAGGTTGTACAACCTCCGCTGCTTCGACTGCTTTATTTTGTACAGCGCCTGTGGCATTCTCTGGCTCGTTTTCGATGTCTTCTTGCTCTTCCTCGTCTTCTCGTGTTGCTTCATTCGCTGGAAACACGATCTCGTCATCCTCGTCGTCGTCTTGCAGTTTTTCTTTGCTCGCTACTGTCTTTCCGAGTTTCTCATAAAAAGTTACGTCTCTCGTCACACTCACTTTCTTCGATACTGGATCGTATAACCAATAATTAGTGGAATCGTCCTGATAACCGACGAAAATTATTTTTCGCGCACGTGCATCGAATTTTTGTGTGAATTGCTTTTGTATATGGACGAACGCTTCCGAACTAAAGATGCGCAAATGTTTCAGATCCGGTGTTTTTCCAACCCACATTTCGTATAGCGTTACTTCGTCACTCGACCACACGAATCTGTTTAACACATATACCGCAGTGTTCACCACCTCTTTGACAAATTTTGAGACAGATTTTTCGCATACATCATTGTGCGGGCACTCTCAACTATTGTACGATTATCGCGCTCGGCTTTTACGTTTTGCTGCGGAGTGTATGGCGCCGTGTTTTCTTTCTTAATACCGCGCGACACGAGATATTCGTTCATTTTTCGATTACAAAATTTGGGCCCGTTGTCCGATCTCAGTATTTTCATCGACCGCCCAAATTTATTCGGCATAAACTTTTTGAACTCTTAAAATTTTTCAAACACGTCAGACTTATGTCTTGTGAAATACACGTGCCGATAATTACTCGCGTCGTCTTTGAACGTTAAAAAGTACTTCGCTCCACCGAGAGACTCGACTGTCATCGGACCGCACACATCCGTGTACATTACTTTGTTGGGCACAGTCGATACTTTCACTGAGTTTTGTCTGAACACCAAACGATGAGCTTTTCCGAGTTGGCACGGTTCACATAAAAAGTCACTTTTGTCTGTCAACGTTACGCCGTTCATCAGACCTTTCTTACGAGCTCGCGTATCGCGCGCTTGCCCACATGCCCCAGCCGTTCATGC